AGAGAGAGAGAGAGAGAGAGAGAGAGAGAGAGAGAGAGAGAGAGAGAGAGAGAGAGAGAGAGAGACAGACAGACAGACAGACAGACAGAGAGAGACAGAGAAATTAGAACATTGAAAAGACACTTCCTCTCTTGGGGCACTCAGCCTGCTGCGGCATCGCTGCGGAACGCCAGTGACTTGTTGTTTTAAATACAAAAGAACAAATTTATTGGTGGTCGCCCATCTTCATTTCCACTCCCATTGCTCTCTCTTTCCTGTTATGTTTTTGGTTGTGGCTTGTTTTTTCTCTTTTGGGGGAAGGGGGGTTGTGGCTTTGCTCATCGGTAAGGCAACAGCGATTACGAAATTTCAACACAATCAGTCGTGGTGCCTTCATTTTTTCTATTTTTTCCAAGGCTGAATACCCGGTCCCACCGGGGCCCCCTACCCCCACCGGAACCGGGCCGGTAGTACCGGCCTGTGGACCGTGCCGGTTCCCTCCCGGTTCCCCTTTGCGCATTTCGATCGCGCGGGGGGGTCAATTTTTTTGGGGCCGGGAGGCCTCCATGCGGGTCGTGGAGGGCTCCCGGCCCCCCAAAAAAATCAACAGAGTCCGGTAGGCCCACCAGAATATTGAAAAACTGGCGGTCTATCTGGGCCGTTGATCTGATGAGATCTGCGGCCCCAATAGGCCGCCCGTTTTTTAACATGGCAGGAAACCACGCGAACATCGGCCAGCCATCCTAACGTTCCCCAGCCACCGCCCCCACCACCCCGCCTCCCGCCTCCCGCTACTTTCAAGCAGCACAACCCGTCACTTCGCCCGAAGTGAACGAGGCCGCTGCTTTGGGGACTGCGTCGCCCCCCTCACGTCCGCCCCAGCCTTGGAATCGCCATCGCCCCGCCCCGCCCCGCCCCGCCGTCCATCGGTAAGAGTAGGTCTTCCTCTTGTTCCTCTGTTTCTTCTCTTCTTACTATCTTCTTCTTCTTCTCTTCTTACTATCTTCTTCTTCTTCTCTTCTTCTTCTTCTTCTTCTTCTTCTTCTTCTTCTTCTTCTTCTTCTTCTTCTTCTTCTTCTTCTTCTTCTTCTTCTTCTTCTGGCAGAGCCCAAGTTTGCGGAGGGTAGTGGGCGCGCGAAGTAAGTTGACGCGCGGAGTAAGTGTGCACATGAAAACCTGTCGGGTTGCGGAAATCAGAGAGAGAGAGAGAGAGACAGAGAGAGAGAGAGAGAAGTTTCGGGCGCGCGTGGAGGGTAGTGGGCGCGCGCGGAGGGTAGTGGCCGCACGCGCGCGGAGGCACAGAGAGAGAGAGAGAGAGAGAGAGAGAGAGAGAGAGAGAGAGAGAGAGAGAGAGAGAGAGAGAGAGAGAGAG